AATAGCCTTTTCTACCAAATCTACTTCCTGGCATTTTTGTTTTTCAATTGGTGACATATTCTCTTGAATATGGCATCACAGAAAGATAATTTGGCCCATCAGGAAATATACTTGGAATGGATCCTTCTTTCAGACGAGGGTGAGAGAGAGAGGAGCTTTTATAAGTTTTTCATTCTTTTCATCTTCACACTTGCTCAGGTGGAATATGTAGTTCACAAATCTAAATTTAATAGAGAAAACTAACTAATCACTTACTTGTATTGATGATAGAATTTTTAAACTCGCAATATAATTTAATTATAGTTTAAATAAAATTAAACTCAGTGAATACTGCTCTAAACTTCAATAAAGAAACACAAAGTGAATAAACAAATTCAAGTGAAACACAAAGTACTTACCATAGAATGTTCAATAGGTTTAAAGTCATCTTTTCACTTCAAACTCCACACCCATTTCTGTTTTAGATCTGGATCTTTTGGAATGCTGAACACATACTTTTGGACCATGTTTAGTGTTGCCACCAAGCCGGTTTTCACCCGGACAAGCCAATTTTTAAATTCATGGTCCGGATTAATTAATTATTTGTTCAGTTTTCTTAAAAATTATGATGAAACAAAATAAATTTACATAAATTTTTACAAAGAAATAATAAAAACTAAAAACTTTTATAAGCAGCTAGGAGCAACCAAAAATTCAAAGATGGTAAATAAAAAATAATGTAATATTTATTTTTATATAATTTTTCTCAATTATTTTCATACATATTAATATATGTATCCATTACTCATGTTAATTTTCAAATTTCTATATTATATATTGTATCAGATACAATGTAATATAATCTTTTTTTAATTGTTATTATTAATGTTGATATGTCTTATTATTTATTTTTCTTACTTTTATGTATTATTTTTACAATTAATATCCACGTCAGACTGTTATTAATTATTTTTAGATATGCCACATGTGATTATTGTATTACTTTAATAATATATCACATACATGTTTATCTTCTAATAAAAATAGTATATTATGCAATTAGTTTATAATATAGGCAATTATGGCATGAATGGAAGTTTGGCACACGAGCAGAGCGAGTGGACCAATTTTCATTAATGCCATAATCGCTAATTATAAACAAATTGTCATATGGTATTCTGTGGTTAGACTATACCTATAACACTATACCTTATGGAACTCAAATCATGTATAATTTGAGTTCCATAAGTATAGTGTTGTAGGTATAGTTAACCACAAAAATATTTATTTCCTACTCTCAATAAAAAACACCTAATTTTTTATTACTAAGTATAATATCCTAATTTTAAAATGTTCAGGTCAGCCATTTTGTAAGGTGGTAACACTAACCATGTTTGTAGTTACTCCAACAAGTTGCAATGCAAACTTGTATGGCATGATTCAGCAAAATATGTAAGTAATAAGTGTTTTATACTTAAAGTAAAAACAAACTTCTGAACTTTTCCTAGACTTTTGTCCAACTGTTCTCCTATGAGAGAGAGAGAGAGAGAATCCCAAAAAGCAAAGAAATAAGAGGAAACTAAAAACTTTGGAAACTTCAAAGATAGTTACCATTTTAATGTGTGGTTTCATTAAGCATAGGCAAGAAGGACATGACGTGACTGTCATACTCCAGCTTTATCTTTATGAGCTGTTGGTTTATTCCTGATAGTTGACCTGTTAACGAGAAGCCCTACATTTGCATTTCCGGTCACATCTGTGGTAAACAAAATGCTGTATTCTTCACCAAGACAATTCTCTGGCAAAACACAAAATATCTGTACTTTCATAGTCTCCTTACTCACTGGCCCTCGCTCTCTCAAACTTTCACGTCTTTGTTAAAATGAAAGCTTTACTGATGGGTCTAAGATTCAAATCAACAGAGGAGGAAGGTGAAAGATGTGATGATTGCACTCGTGATGATAATGCAGTATGGGTTGTAGCTTGTAAGACTGTTTTACTAAGTGGTACGAATGGTGACAGAAGTGCATAGCTGCAAGAGCTTATTTTCAAAATTGTCTTATGTATATATTTTGTACTACTAACTTCAATTTAAGTTTTAATATGATTATTATTATTTTTGACTTTACCATGTTGATGTGTCTCAAGTATTGCATCATTTGAAAATATTGAACATAAAGTTCTTCACACTTATACAGATTATCTAATAACGAATGAGCATAACTTCACTTTTGAATTAAATATATGGTATGACCAAATAACTGATAATTTATTATTTTCACATAGCTTTGTATTCTGAAACTGATTCATTAGAAAAAAAAGGTTATGAATCAAGAAAACCAGAAGTAAATCCAGTTTTCTTCTTGGTGCTTCTGATTCACTTTAGGGGTTCTAATACTAGAAAGAGATGATAATCCAAGAGTGTGAGATCCAGCAAATAGACCAAGAGATTCAACAACTCAAATCCTTGATTTTCTGCAGAGTTTTGTGAGCAGATACGAGTTACGTCATCTTGAAGAAAGAGCATTCCAATTTCCCACATTGATCCTCTGATTTTTTGGCAGATGTTTTATCAAAATGACGTCATACTTGTCTTAGAATACTGAAGCTATGATTTTCCAGCTGATTTCTTCAGCCAGGAGATTCACAATGGTACCATAATGGTAGAACCACATGATCCCAAGAATTAATAGAAGAAATAGAATTTCATGATTATTGTACAAACTAAAAATTTTCGAAAATGTATTTTTCTAGAAAGAGAAGATATTCATATATTTTAAAGAAAACCTTTATCATACCCTATTAGACTACGTTGCTGCTTTGAAATGTTCAATTAATCCTTTGATGACTAATTCATTTCAGTGTAGAAATTTATTTAAATAAGAAAACTTTAATTTACATGTAATCTTAATTCATAGCAAATGTTAATTCCCAATTCATTATTGCCATTAATAACAACAGAATAATATATACAAGGCACTCTTTTTAAAAAACTCTCTCCTCCTCATACATGGATACAAAGGGGGTCTTTTTGTAGGTTCAGTGAGAAAGTGAAGGACTGCCCCAGAAAATTCATTAAGTTTTTCAATCCCTATGATTCATTTCCTAGTCCTCTGGAGCAATAAGATGACACCTTAACTGCCTCCCTCCCCCTTCCAGCTATCAATACAAATAGCTTGTATTGACAGTTGGATGGAGGTCTTTGTTTTATGGACCATCAGAGATTGAAAAAAACCATCCTCCTATTTTTATTCCAAAATGCAAACTTAAAGAAATGCTTTTACTTACATAAATGGACTAAGTGAAGCATTTTTTTCAGCTGTCATGGTATTATGAGACCAAAAATAAATGCATGGGCATTCGTATTTAAAAATATTTTTTTATGGCTTTCCATGAGTATCCCATGCTTATATTTTTGATTGCATAATACTAAGAATACCACAAAGGCTGAAAAAAATTTTTTTTACTTTTAGTATATTTATGTGAATAAAAAGATTCTTTAATTTTTTTTTATTTTCTACTTTTTAGTTTTATATATAGAACACTGAACTATAGAAATTCTTCTTGGTTTAACATTTAATTGGGAAATAGATGAAAATTGAGTTACAAGGTTTTGAGGTTACATACAGTAACTCAACTATAATTCATAGTTCTTTAGAATTAGCTAAAGTTCTCTATAGTAATTCTGTGCTTATCACACAAACACTTTTTTTGATGGAAAAAATAATTTTATTTTCTATTTTTCACAAAAGGAAATGCATTTTGGGCCATTTTCCCTCATCAGTCCTTGATATATAATAAAACTGAAAGCTGGAATAACTAAGTATTTAAAAATCATAGGTAAAACAAGTGAAGCTGTAAAACTTGGAAAAATATATGAAAATTGGAAAATAAAAAAGATAAAAACAAAAACTTTAAAATCTGGCTAAAATAATAAATAAAAATGTTTTTTATTTTGATCAGTTTTATATGTATGCAAAGTTTCAACTAGATTGGAAAATGGGTGAAAATTATCTGGACAGAAAAACAAAGTTAAAAACGACAATGGTTCATGGACCATTAGTGGTCTGCTAACTGACTAGTCTTATACTGTTTTGATTCAAAAACGATAATTTTGTACAAACCAGATATATTTTTTATTGTTCACAATCTGTTTTGTTGATACTTTAACTACACTCACACATCCAAAACATAAGCATTGTATTTATCAATGTATAGTTGTTTATTTTGCATTCTTCTTCACATTAATTTATACAAATATTTTTGCAGCATTTAGAAACATCTGTAAAGCAAATATTTTTCTTATAACTAATATTCGCATCATAGTAAACCAGTATGCTAAATAGAAAAATTAAATAAACAAACTAATATTAAATTGAGATAATTACTACAACAGTAATTTTATTACACTGGTGTTTTTTGCATCAAAAAATGATTATAAACAATGTTTACATCATCTTAAGTAGGTACAAATTTGTTTATATATAAATATATGTAAAATGTAACCTTTCACAAGACTATTCAATTCAATATTTCAATAATGTTTTTATTCTGCTGATGTGAAAATTTGATATAATAATACGCAAAATAATTTTTCATTAAATTTTGATATAAACTTTATGATAGTTTTTTTCTTGATAATAATCCAATTATATTAAGTAATGAATATAATAAATCAAAAAACTTTAAATTTTTAATAATTTTTAATAATAATAATAATAATAATAGTTAATTAATAATAATAATAATAGTTAAAATAATTTTTAGCTTTTAAATTTACCATTGCTTTTACTAAAAAATATTGTACTTCAATCATTCTTTATTTCCATACAAATGCATACAGAATATATATAGAACCAATTTCATTTACGCATTATGTGGAATGCACAACTTTCAATGTTTTCAACGAATTTATTTAAATTGTACTGTACCTATAATACATATAAGTTCATACAGATGTCAATCTGTACAAAAAACATTTACAAATATACTGTTTTTCAAATAAAATTCAAACAAAACTTTTTTTGTGACATTTATTTGTAAATTTCCTTCATAAACATAACTGGAATGAAGACAAATATATTGTAAAATGATTCAATGATATAAACATATAAGAGACAATAAAAGCCATGTATCACACAAAAATTAAACTATTACTATTCTAGATGTATTCTATTGTTCTGGATGGGACATCAACAGACAGAACAGTTCCGATTTTAGACACATAACACTAATTTATTAAATGTAAAAACTATTTAGTTGAACGCCTAGAAGGTTCCGAGGCCGTGGGTGGTGGTGGCGGCCCCCTGTGATCTAGATCATCTATATAAGACATTAAAAGTTTTTTCCTTTCATCTGCTATACATTCTAAAACTAGATATCGTTTATCATTCTGAAAGACAAATTTAAGATGAATATTTGTGAGAAAATAGTAGAAAGACTATATATGTTAAATAATTTTTATAACTTGCACATACCTGTAGTATTTTTTCAATATCTTGTAGATGATCAGTTTCTTCAATCATCTTTTTTGATCTAAAAAAGTGATATTTTTGTCACAATTCAAATATTTTATTTATGTTAAAAAATATTGTTACATTTTAGGGGAAAAAAATCAAATTATAAATTACTTCATTGATATACAGAAGTATTTTGAGATTTATCATCTTGCTTTCTTTTCAGTATTGACTAATAATTAAATTTACAGTTAATAGAACTTGTTTTGACACAAGAGTCAATAATACAATAAAAAAATATAATTTGACGATTTAGAATATAATGTAATACATTTATTTGCTGGATAAATCATAATTAAGGAATGCCAGCAATTAAAACAATTAATGTTTAAAGTACTGGCTAAGACTGATAATGACTAGCATAGTCATTATCAGTCTTATGCTGTACATTGAGGCAAATACTGCAAAAAGCCAATAATAACTATTACCAAACACTGTTTACAATATGCAAGTTTTAATAGTGTATTTTAACTTTCATATTTTGGGACATGCTATTTATCATTCATTTAATGCAGTGTTTCTCAACCTCTAACGAATTGTTGTCCCCTTCAGTAAAACCATTACATAGTATCGCCCCCCCTTTACTACAAAATTCTGATGCCAAGAGCCAAGACTAACGCCAAATTTATACTGCATTGAATAGACTAGTGACTAGTATAATGTTATTTATTTAATTATTGTACAATATAATGTATAAAATATTTAATTATTCTTAATATAATGTTTTACTATATCACCCAGAAAATTGTTTTTCACTCCCCCAAAATATAAATTGTTACTAATTGCCCCCTCAACATGGAAAAACATCCACATTGGGTGATATTGCCCATTGAGAAACACTGATTTAATGTTACCAATAAATAGATTCTACAATAGTTGTTATTTATCCTTACTAAGTATTTCTGGAACATTTGTTTTACAATCTCACAAAATACAGGATTTTTTTAAAACTGATGGTACTCAGAGACATCTGTAGAGCAATCTAACAGCTGGACTGTTGCCAAATTTGGGAGAGTGACTAAGGACGACATGGAAAAGAGATTTTGCGAAGGAAAAATAGTAGTACACAGATTTGCTGGTAAGGGTGGATTTGGTGCTGTTGTAGCAAAACAGCTAAGAAGTTTTCACACATTAAAAAGTTTTAAGCTGGGTGGAAGTCTTCATCATCTTTAAGCACCCAGCATGTAGTCCTAAATTAGGACAGAGTGACTTCCACCTCTTTCCTGAACAGGAAAGTGACTAGGAGGGCAGAGGTTTGAGACTAATGGCAATCTTCAAAACAACGTTAGGGTCCATCTCAAGTCATTGGCGGCAACATTCTATGACAAGGGGATGGAAAAGCTCATCCACAGATATGACAAATGTCTCAATCTTCACAGTGATTATGTCAAAAAGTAACCATGTTTGTACTTAACTTTTGGTAATAAATTCATTTTGTTATTTACACTTGTCTTTTCTTTATGGACCATCGGAGCTTAAAAGAAAACAGCCTCCATATATGTATAGCCCAGTGTTTTTCAACCTGTGGTTCGCAAAGCCTTACATGGGGGTGTTGCAGGTAAAAGAAAAAGACAAGTGTTTATAGGTCCTACACTACAATAAAAAAAACCTACAATCTCAGTGAGAAGGCTGTGCCTGTTTATTTTAGAGTACAATTGATTTTTTTATTGATATTTAGGTCTCAACAGAAAGAAACTTAAATATGTAGTTTTTAAAATCACTGACATAGTTTTAATATGGCCCTGGGGGTTGCCAGAATTTTTTTAACTTGTAAAAGGGTCGCTTATTCAAGAAGGTTGAAAAACACTGGTATAGCCAATTGAAAAAAAATGTTTTAATGATATATTGAAATTTTAAATAAGCCTATCAAAAACCAAAGAATAAAATTAGGAATTTCAATAAAAATTATTTAAAGTTTCAAATTAGTGTGTATGTTATAGAACCACTTCAACATATGTAAGTAATAAGTAATCTATTTGGTTTTCTTCTGATTGATATATTATAGAATATAAACTTTATATAGCTCTGTTATACTTACATCAACACACACATACAAAATTTACAATTAATTACAATATATTCAGGGGAAAAAGATCATACTTACTTATATGTAATCATTTTAGTTTCTTTTAATAATTCCCGGAAATCTGCTTTTGCAGCAACCATTTTATCTTTTAAATAGTCCTTAAATTCTCTCTCGCATTTCCGATCATTTGATGAAAATTTTGAATAACGAGGATCATCACGTATTATCTTTTTTATCTGCAAAAATTGTATATGTATTTGGCTCAAATCAATATATTATTATTATTAAAAATTCAGACAATTTTTTAAAATGTAAATTTATTATAAATAAGATTTAATAAATTATTGTGTATTACAACTAACTAGTACCTAGCAGTGCCTGGAAAATATAGTAAATTTTCTGTAACTGGATAAAATTGTGTTATGGCTGGATAATGGCCTATAATGTACAGTACAGTACAATACATATAGATATAGATATATACACAGGAAATCTTATTGGATTATTATGTGTGATTCTAGAGACAGAGACTAATTTTTATTTAATCAATTAGTAAAACTAAAGTAATATTTTAGAGAAAAATTTAACACATTTTGTCATTGTTCCATGGGAATGGAAGTAAAACTTCCTTTGGAGAGATGTTATCATACATCTCTAACGAATATCCTATCAGATGTTACAAATTCTAAAACCTAATTGGAGGGGAATTTAGAATAAAAAGGAGAGTAATCATGATCTCAGGGCTGACAACGATCTACAGACTGCCATAGAGGAAGGCAAGTAGCCATAAATAGACTCTGCTATGTAGAAGCACAGAAGCGATAAGGAGAGCATAGCCCAGTTCTGGCCCATCATCCAGAAGAGAAGTTCTACACATCAACTGGACCAAATGTAATAGTCCGTCAGAGGTATTAATATATATGTAGAATTCGTTTTATCTCCCACCTTACTAACTTCACTCGTACTACTTAGTTCAGTGAAGACAACTAATTGCTCACAATACCAACATTTATTTACGATACTAGACTTACAATTAGCAACACAAAACACCAAACATTTAGATATTAAGTTTGAATCGTCTCCAAAAATTCTTCATGCTTAGAGAGAAAGAGTTCTTTCTGGATATGTCTGGTCTCTCTCTCTTTTTTTGTTTTTTGGACATGCTGTCAGATGGTGCCTTACAGTTTAGCCACAGCTCTGCCATCCTGCAGATCACTCCATCCTCGGAGGGATTACTGGAAGACTAACAAAAAAACCACATAAAAACAAAAATAGAAAATATGGTTAGAAATGTTCTGGAAAAATGTTTGATGTTAAACAAGGTCAATGGGCCATGGCTTCATGTGGTCAACTGCAGTAACAGTTACATTTCACCCTTCAGACGACCAATTTTCTCAACTGAATGTCTGTCCCTAGGCATCATTGAGGTAACCTTATAAGGTCCAAAAAACTTAGGTCTTAGCTTGAGTCCTGTTCTGTACTGAGTTCTCTGAATGACAACAAGATTGTTAACCTGGTATTTGGAAGCTAGTTTTCTTTTTTTTTTTTTTATTGTAGGATTTGCAATTTTCCTCCTGTAGCTTCAAGATATTTTCTTTGGCATCTTCATGAATCTTGTCTCTATCTTGTATCATACAATTTAAAAATTCTTCTTCCAAAATCTCTTTTACTCTTAGGTCTTCTTTATTCTTCATTTTGGTACCGATCAAAACTTCAAAAGATGTATATCTTGTACTATGTGTTGATGTACTATTGATGATTCTCTGGACAACCGAAACATATTTGTACCACATCTTTCAAGAGTTTTGCCAAAATGGAGATCTATGCATGCATTCTATGCAAGATGCTATGCATACATTCTATTTGTCTAATTCCCCTAGGAATACCCGTGGTGATCGTAATTTACTCAATCATCTCATTGGCGCAGTAATTGTTAAATTCTTTGGAGGTAAAAGCAGTTCCACAATCCGTGACTATATGAGTCAGATTTCCAAATACCACTTGTCAGGTCTTCAGTTTATCCAGAGCATCTCGGGTAGTCAATGACCTGACGGGATAAAACCACATGAACTTAGTGAAGTTATCTACTACCGTAAAAATGTGCTGGTAGTTTTTGTCTGTTGAGGGTAGTGGTCCAAGAAAATCCAAATGATATGTGCTCAAAGGACTGTCTCCTTTTGTATAGGAGTTAATAGGAAACGGTGAAGGTCTATTGTACAGTATACAGCTGATGCAATTCAGTATAACATCAGGTGAGAGATTGAAGTTTGTCATAACTTTCAACAAAGCTTGTAGTAGGCCTACTTGTCTGACATGAACAAAGTTCAAGTGATATACTACATCCAATAATCAGAAACACTTTACAACTTGGGTTCAGTGAGTGCAAAGAAAGTTTCAATGAAGGTTTTATGGTCATTGTATTAATAGTTTCTGCTGTAATGGCAAACTAAAACTGAGGAGTTGGTTCAAAGGTCAAAGTCAACTCTAATTACTATGAAAGTAAAGTACTGGACCCATGTTTAAGCATGAAATTCTATTTCTGTATAGTGTGGAGATTTCAAATGTATGATCTATCATGACAAAGCATAAAGTAATATCTCACTTTCTACTCTATCCTTTCTTTCATCAACAAGAAATGCTAAAGCCAACACTCTTTTCTGATATACCTGCTAAATCACCCAATGAAGTATCCATGGATTTCTGTGCCTAAAAAAAGCCCCTGAAAATTGTTGATACTAAACATTAAACAGATTATGGAAAGCTGGCAATGATGAATGGTGAAAACAAACCAAAATTGTCTAAGAGCCCTTTTGCAATAAAAAAATTTGATGTTGAACAATAGCCAGAAACCAAGGGAAGTAGCAAGATGATGGAGGAAGGGGTTTTCCTGAGTAACAGGTATTAAGAATATTTCCATTAGGCTGAAACAACCATCTGCATATACTTTGTCATACTTTTACTTAAAATCACTAATAAGTCAACTTATACTCAGTACACTGACAGTAACCAACAGGAATCCTTCTTATTCTATTGGCAATTTGGGAAATGGAAGATTATTTAAATTGTGACAGCTATCTCACAGAACCATATGGAAGTGAAATTCACAAATATGTGTTTCATTGAAATAATGTTTTAATCTAACATTTCATTTTGCAGATTCCAATGTGTTGTTATGCATGCTTTAAAAGTTTTACTTGCAGAGATTTAATACCCCCAAATTATATCATACATCTTGAGAAACAAAGCAAATAAATAATATATCTGTTTACCTGTTTTGTCTATTTTTAATCTCCATGCTGACTCGCTTTTTTATAGGTCAATACAATGCCAGTTTTATGTTCTCTGATTGGAATAAGAAATTACTGTATTTCTTTGCCAGTAGAAATTCAATGGTTACCAATTTTTAAAAATTATTGGCTAAAGCACTTTTATATTTGGAAAGCCAAAAATGGGCAATACATCCAAATGAGCAATATAATGAGGGATACTATATATATTTAAATTTCATATTATATTACAGATAGCTATTGGTTTATGACAGTTTCATTCTGGATGAAATGAATCCAATTATACAATATAAGTTGAGTTATATTCTAGACCCGTCTCAAAAATCACATTAAATCAATTAAATATAATACAATAAAAAATAGCCAAACAGATTAAATGTACAAAATAATTTGATTATTTAGTCCTTGGTTATATAATTCCTGGTTGAGGATCTTTCCTTTTCCTGCATAAAGTAATTAATGTTACTGTAGATATTTCCTATAAGAACCAATATAGTATTTTGGTCCTTTTTTACTTTTGCATTTTGTTCCAGTCATGGTTAGTCTCATAGAGTTCATCTGTGGTCTCTGACTGAAAGCTGTATTCTAGATCTTTTGCTTATGTAAAAGATAAAAGTTTTTTTTTGGCCTTTTCGTCTCAAAACATTGTAAATCATCACAAAACCTACTTTCATAAAACAAGGGGTACCTGTGCATTATAATTTCAGGACATTAATTGTTTATTATAGTAATGGCATAACTTCTTGAATAAAAATCACAGAATAAGTTGTATAGCACACTTTCAAGAAATGTTGCATTTCTGATGCTACATGTGATATTGAGGATAATTGTATGTGAAAAGATATGAGCATCAAATCCAGTGCTTATTCACAAAAGCCTAGTATGAAAAGTGAAGAGATTTCTGACTTTAATACCACAGAAGACAATGATATATATAACTTGCTCTAATGTGCAATAAATGCTGAACAACTTTATGTCAATAGAACTGATTCTGTTGGCATAAATTTGTCTCAAGTTGTCTATTTTTCAAAAACAATCCATGGGTGAGAATATAGAAATTAAGGTGTCTCTTAGATTCAAGTAAATATGGTATATTTTCTTGAATCTAAGACACACATGCTTTGCAAAACATCTACATATTCTGACATACTACTAGTTGTATTTGAAACTTTTAGCACATACTGTTCTGTTAAAAATGTTGTATCCTGTTTTTGAAATGTAAATATATTTTTACTACATAAACATCAACTAAAAACCACTGTATATATATACACAATGAAGTTTGGGTATTAAAAACCAAGAAACATTCTGCATAATATGTCTGTATTAAAGAACTTTTCTTTTATATTAATTTAGAAGCAAAATTTATGAAATACCTCCTTCCAAGATGAAGTTAAAGTAATGCTATGTGTTTCATCTAGTAATTCACGAAATTTTTCCTTCTTTTTCTTATTTAATCCTTCAATGTGCTTATCAAAAAGTTTCTCTCTTTCTTCTCGTACTAAAGATTCTACCATTTCCCAACGATGATCTTTTCTCAAAGTTCGTTTTGCATCTCTCCAAGAAACATCTGGATTACGAACCTAAAATTTTAATAAAATTTATATTACAATGATTAACATGTTAAGAAATAAAATATCCAGATATAAAAAAAATTCATAAATTAAATCAAGAGCATTGAAATCTATCATATTGTGATAATTTATTAACATGAATGAAAAATTAAAATTAATAACTAAAATCCAAGATGTATAAGACACAGTTATATAATGAACATAATTAATGTATTCTTATTCACAGCAATCTGCAGATAGTAGTAGTAATTTAAATATAAGATATAATATATGCTATGCTTCTTTTCTAGGTTTGTATTTACTTGTGAGCACTAAATCGGCCTTTCTTTATTGCTAAGAATGCATTCTTAATAAAGCGATGTTCTGTGGTGGTTTAATAAATCTAGCAATAAAGAAAGGCCAATTTAGTGCTCACAAGTAAATGTCAGAAATAGAAAAACAATGAAAAAGAGTAAAAGAATAGCGAAAAAATTTTCATATTTTTATTGTAAGGATACAAAACATCATTTTAACAGAATGAAACATAAATGATTTATTACCGATGATAAGAGAAAATTTTCATAGACGAATGTAGTATTTTCCATTTGAACAACAGTTCTTTTGATAGACAGATGTAACAGCTTAGTTGAATAAATGATGATGCTACTTTTCAGATCAATAAGAGTGTTGATTAACTTTCTACAGTTTATAAATGGAAACTAAATACACCTCACAATAAACTAAAACTGTAATATTTGCAAATCACACCTAAATTCAAAATTTCCAGCATATAAAAGTCAAAAAACACATATCAAATGTTTTCAGCCACTAAATTTATCGGTCTTCCTCAGGAAATATCAACTGGAAAAACTGTTCTATAAATAGAACTTATCTGCCTTTTAAATTTTTTAAAAGAACAAAAGTGGCTGTGACATATTGTGTATGATATATATTATGAGTCTAGCTAGCGTTTCCACTCATGCTTGCCTTGTAGATCTCTACTGCTTCTACAATTTTTATATTTTGCCTGTCAAAAACCTTGCGTATTAGCTTGGCCTGGTCCCAACAGGGGGAAATCCCTGGCTTGCTGGCATATCGTGCTAAAGCTTTACTGATGTTACCTTTTAGCACGTCATATTTATGATCTTTTAGTTTAACGTGCTAAAAGGTAACATCAGTACAGCTTTAGCATGATATGCCAGCGAGCTGGGGATTTCCCATTGGGACCAGGTCAAGCTAATACACAAGGTTTTTGATAGGCAAAATATAAAAATTGTAGAAGCAGTAGAGATCTACAAGGCGAGCATGAGTGGAAACTGCATCAACACGAATGTCATTCCTGTATCATCAGCATGGAAACGCTATCTAGACTCATAATATACGTCATACACGATACGTCACAGCCACTTTCATTCTTTTATAAAAATTTTAAAGGCAGATAAGTTCTATTTATAGAACAGTTTTTCCAGTTGATATTTCCTGATTGAAGGCTGATAAATTTAGTGGCCAAAAACGTTCAATATGTGTTTTTTGACTTTTATTTACTGGAAATTTTGAATTTAGGTGTGATTTGCGATTATAAATGGAAATTTTTAGTAATTATTGGGTTGTTCGGAAAGTAATTTCGTTTTTTTTCCATGGAAAAAATACAATATTTTTATAATAAATAAATATTTTATTGAATTATATAACGACCATTTTAGTCAAATATCTGTTGTCATCATTTCTGGTAGTAGCATGATTTCACATTCATAAAAGTTTTGACAAAAACTGATCCAAGTGATTTTTGACATTGTCATTTCAAGTAAATGTCTTACAGTTAAAAAAAATCTGTATAGACCGGAACAAGTAATAATCTGTGTGTGCTCGATCTGGCAAATATGGTCGGTGTGATAGCACATGGCATCTAAGTTATAACAGTTTCTGACAAGTTACCAAACTTGTGTGAAATTTGACATTATCGTGGTAAAACACTACACCTGTTTTGTTGATCAATTCTTTACCTTTTCTGTTTGATGATATTACTCAATTTGTATACTCGATGGCAGTACACTTTCGAATCAATTGTTAAATTGTCTGGTAAAAGCTCCAAAAAAAAATTTCCTTAAAATCCCACCAAAGAGAGCATCTCTCTTTAAGAACATGTGGAACCCATATATCAAGCTTTGAAACGAAACCAATTTGTTTCAAGTAATCATAAACAGTTCAATTTGACAAATTTAATCTCTTAGTGATTTCACGTGTTGTTATTCGGCAGTTTGCTTCAATCAGTACCTTTATTTTGTTTTCATTGGCTTCAACTGTCCATCCAGAACATGGTGCATCTTTAATATTGAAATTGCCAGAATGAAATTTTGTAAACCAGTTTTGGCACTGTCATTCTGTCAATACATCTTCTCCATATACATCACACAATTTTTTTCTCACTTGAACAGCATTCTTACCTTTTCGGTAATAAAGGAGCAAAATATGCCGAAAGTGCTGCTTTCGATCTTCCATATTTGATGGGACACAAAAAAATAAACAATTGCACAAAATCAAACAAAATTTTTTACAAATAAGTCTAAAATGCTAATTGTCAAAATATATAATGATAATACGGTTTAGAATGAAAATGGCGGGAAAAATACAACTAATCCGTCTAGTGGTAAAAAAAAAAAAAAAAAAAAAAAAAAATTACTTTCCAAATAACCCAATAGATAATAATTATTTTTAATTTTGCTGAGAAATTAAAAATTTATTATTATTATTATTAATTAGGCAAGTCAAAATAGAGCATAAGTTGAGATCAGTATATTTCAACTAGAAATGACAGACAATTAACCAATTAACTTAGCATTAAGTAAAAGTCTGTTATAATATTGCTAAAGTTTGTAGTAGTAAAATTTCTGAAGATGTTGTACATCATGAATTAAAGGTAAATTTCAATGTGGTTTTCACCATCTTAGAAAAACACCACTGCTGATGCCTAAATATGTATAGCTTGAACCTTAGTAAATCCAGAATGAAAATTTAATTTAATATTGAAAATATTCTGATTAACATTTTTGATCAAAACTGATCATTATCAGGTCAGTTTATGTTAATGAAATGTACAAAAGAATGCATTACAAAATTTTTAAATTTAGAGGAGTTTGTTGACAAAATAACTACTACTACATAGCCTAAATATTACTGAAAAAATAAGTAACTACAATGCATATTCAAAACATACAAACTGTCCAGAATGCCATTACCAAATACTGGATGATGCAGGCTTATTGTATGAAATGTTGCCAGGTGTACAAAAGATTTTTTCATCTACGTAATTTATGCATCTGCCCTTGATTTGATCTTTGTAAATCTCCAATGCTTCAGTCAGAATATTTTCAATATTAAATTAAATTTTGTTCTGGATTTATTACAGTTTAAGCTGTGTTTATCTAGATATATGTATTTGCAAGACTGCAATAGAAATGTGAGATGGATGGATGGCTAATAATAATAATAATTAATTATCAGAAAAATTGCAATTTAGATAATTTGATGAGTTACTGACATGACTCATGAAATAAATTGTGCCCAGTATATATTTCCTTCCTTTTTGATTTCATTTTTAGGATGACAATTTGCAAAATAAATACTTTCAATTGCTTTGTTTGTTTTCCATAAGACTACAATAAACAAAATATATAATCAAGAAAATCATACCAAGTCAGCAAGTAAGGCATTAAAATGTTGAACAGCTTCATCACGCTTATGCTGTTCTTTTTGCTTATCTCTTTCACGTAAATGAGATGATAAAGTACGTTGAACTTCTTTCTCTCGTTCACGTATGCTTGCTTCAATCCTTTCTTGTTTTTCTTTTTCTCTAGCAGCAGCTTCATCTGCCTCCTATAAAAAAAAAAATCCTTTTATAAAGTAAATTATTATTTCAACTATTAATTAAAAATACACAATCTTTGTTATAAAAAACTTTAACTGTCAAGTTAACTTACACTGGTCAGCTTGCTGACATATTCCTTAAACCAGTCCTCTCTATGTGAACTGCTTTCAACAGCTTTATATCGACTATCATCGTTTAATGTTTTTTTAATATCACTCCAACGAGAATGTTTATCCAATCCTTTTTGTTCTTTTAAAAGTTCAATAAAATCTCTCTTTACCTGTAGGAGAATTTTTCCTTTAATAAAAGTTTCTTTTATATCTAATAGAATTAATAAAAATTAATTCAGTATATAAATAATCTGAAAGATTTTTCTTGTATGTTCTTTGAATGTTCACAACAAATAATTAATAAAAACATTAAAAAAATAACAATTTCTTTGTACCTTTAAACCCCTTTAAACACATACAAGAAAACAAATATTTATTCAGAAATTCTATGCTGAAAAAAAGTAATTTATATGATTAACTTCCTTAAAACTTGAAATATGTAAAATTTTAAAAATAATCTGCTAAATAAATATAATTCACCCTTATTACTAATATTAGCCATATAGAAATTTTATTACTATTAAATTTGAATTAATTTTTCTAACATTAGAATAGATTATATTTTATTTTTTTTTTTCAAAAATATGAACATTTTTATTCTAAATGTAGAATAAACTCATAATTTAAATATATATGTATTACATTTGCTGCAATCTCTAACTTTCAAAAATAAATAATATTTTATTTGAAAAATTAAAATGCTGAAAAATATCATGCAAGTAGCTTAAATAATTCAAATAAATTGTAAAAATATGTTTTAATTTATTTAATAAAAGTTTTTATGATAGTTTTGAACTAAATAAAAATGAATATAATAATGATAATCATAATAAAATGGTTTCAATTTATGAAATGGTGTATTGAGTAATAAACATTTAATTAAAAAGTTATAAAATTTTATGATACCATGCATGATTTTTTCTACATTTTATCATCATAGATGAATAAAAATATATATTCAAGATTTTAATTTCATGTTATATAAAGTAATTATAGTAAAATATTAAACTTATATGAGCTAAAAAAATTTAACTTCAAGAAATTATACAAACATTATTTTTCTTGATATAAATACATTAAATTCATTCAGAATTAATTTCAATTCTTCATTTAATTTAGAACTTCATGCAATTATTCTTAATGAAGAATATACTGAAGTTTTGAAATGACATAATATTTAACAATAATCTTGTTTAATTAAATATGTTTTAATAAATTTTTATTCCCAATGAAGTTAATAAGACAATTCAGAATAATTTGTTTTTTAAATTAATACAAAAAAAATATATATATAATTTGCCAAACGATTATATATTTATTTTCAAAATTCTCATTTCATAGCTAAAAAATATTTCATCCTAGTTATAATAGGATGAAATATATTTTAATATGCTTAATTATTGTAAATTTTTTTAAATTTAATAATAAATAAAACTAAAAAACAATCTCCAAATCAATTATTCTGTTAAATTTAGAAGAACAGTCATATATATATTTTTATTTTTCAATTATAAAATAAATGTTACTATCAATATTTAAAATTTTATTTCAATAAACAATAAACTTTATGTGAATTATATAATAGTTATTATTACATTTAAACTGCTCTTCTAAATCAGAAAAAAAAAATTAAAAATCAAATCATTATATGAAAATACTATAACATTCTGTCAATATAGAAAAATAAAATTTATAAAATTATTATTTAATTATAAAATTTTTCCGACAAAATTCCAAAGCTCGAAATAATAATAAGCATTTTATATTTTCAAGAAGAAAGCATTTTGAACCTGTTGTATATTTTCAGAATGTTATTTAAAAAATAGAAACATTTATTAAATATTTTTAAAATTTAAAATCACTTAAGTTTTATAAATGCTGTAAAGAAAAAAGTTTTTAATCATTAAAAATAATCATGCATTAATTCTTATTTTTAAAAAATATTTATATTAAAAAAAATTCAATGAAAAAAGTTATTATTATATGATGATGTAATATAAAGTTTTTTAAAATAAATTGTAATTTGACTTAATGTATAATGATGTTTTGAATTATCATATTATATTATTTTTATGGGCTTTACTATTTATTTTAATCTGTAAAAATTAAATGTAACACATTTATTACTCAATTTTGCCAGTAGGAGTAAAAATATATCCAAATTTCAATTTTAATGATCCAGCTCTGTTGATTGACTAAAAAATAATATATTCGATTAGAAAAATTATCATTTATAAAACTTATTTTAAATTTTAAATACATATATATATATCTTCTTTAGAAAGTAAATATATTTAAAATAATAGAGTTGGGTTATCACTGAATCAGTTTGTTAATGAATATTTGCAAAATAAATCAATGAACTAAATGCTTACGAAAATATTAAAAACTCCTAGTTACTTATAATTCCAAACTATTTTAAGATTAAATTGCAATTTAAGCCTATTTACACCATATTATAGCATATAAATTATTATGGTAAATGATAGGATTTTTCTTGCCATTTTCACAAAGAGAGAGAGTTTCAACACTAAAACAAAAAAAAATTTCTAATTTCTAAAAAAAAAGACAGCCATTATTATTAATATTTATTTAATATGCATAACTGATAGAGCCTTTTTACAGTAATTTTTTTTTAAATTTTTATTTAGAAATCATTACCTTATTTAAGTGTTTTCAAAAAAATTACACTGATCTCCAAATTATGTGTGCATTAAAAGCGCACACAACTTTATCTTATTGAATTTCGATGTATTTATGTAAGTGAACAATAATGAAAAAAATCTTTGTATAGTTTTCATTTGCATATTCATTTCAGTTCTGTATTAATACTATTTTCAAGTCAATGTTCCTGTTTAGAGAGATGGAGTGCATATTTTATTTACTAAAATATGAAAACTAACATAGATTACATAAATACATAGATAACACAGACTATTTTAAATATATTTTAAAATTTAATCATATATGCAAAGTTTTTCTAAACAATCTAAAAATACTTTCCATTTATTTTAAGATGACTAAATGTGAGGTATTTCAAATTTGGAAAAACTGAATGCTTTTCTTCTTCCTTAATTATTTACTTTCAAAATTGGTATTAATTATGAAAAACTCTGTAATTAATAATGTAATTGTTATTCTAAAGCTAATTATATTTATATTTACTATATGTATATTTTTAAAATATATTATCAATAAAAAAAATCCTCAATTTATACCATAAATATAATATCAAACAAATTACTGTGTTCTGTCATTTTTAAAAACATGTATCTAATTCAAGAGAATTATTGTAGCCTTATATGTATTTCTTGATATAATCTGATATCAGTACATATCAGTAGATAAATCAAATTCTAATTCTTTTAAAAAAAAATATTATAAAAATTAGAAATAAAACTTTTTAAGACAAAAGCACAAATTATAAATTTTTTTAAACTGTAACATAATTATTTAATTAAATTTTTAAAAATTCCAGAAAAAGTGAAGTTTGATCTAAGAATACATGGAATAGAGTTGCACAAACTTCTTTAGTCACATTTCCTCTTTGGCACAAATTCAATATTTGTCTTTTCTCCTTTCCAATTCATATGAATATGTTTCAGTTTTAACAAGAATTTCAGAATAACAGTAAATTTTTCTACAAATAAATAGTAAAATCTGGAAAGGGGGAAATACGGTAATTAACCAAGATTCAACAATGTATGAAGTGAGATGTGGAAGAGTATCCTATCAATAAACATATATTAGGGAAGCAGAGATGTTGCATAGAAAGTCACATACAATGAAGGATTCTGAATATCAGATATTGTTACGTAAGATGGAGTAATATTTGAAAAACTATGCTTTTGAGTCAAATTGATGTCATATTTTAATTTATTGCACTGGCTTGCACATTTTTGTCAAAGTCACATGTTCCCAAATTGCTTTAACCAGTGTAATAAAGTATAGACAGTTTCATGAATCTTTGCTATTTAGCACATAGTACTCAAAGGAAGCCAAGATACTTTAAAAAAGATTTACTCTGGTGACTTCTCATAATAATGCAAATTAAAAAAAGAATTATTTTAAAGAAATTTTAATTTTATGTCTATAATTGCTTTTATAAATTCAGTTGTAAATAAAATTGTTTTATTATGTAATTTAAAAGTAATTATGTTCAATAAGTAGATTTCATCTAATAGAATGTATTATACATGTTATCCAAATTTTTCTTATCCAAAGGTGCCCTGGTCCACATTACTTGGGATAATCAGGACTATACTGTGCAGGACATACAAATGCAAAAAGATATTTAAAATAAAATAAATGAGGAGAGCTATTATTATTATTAAAAATGAAAAAAATTCTGTGCCTTCACAAACATTTCTGGAATTGTTCCACTAACACCACTAACATAGAAATGATTACTATAAATAATAATACAAAATGTGAATGTTGTTGTCAAGATTATCAAAACTGTCAATTTTTGTTTAAACTAAATTTGGAGACACATATATTTATATAAAAAATCTTTCCACAAACAAACAATTTTTTATATTGTAACACACTAGATTGTTTTTAAAATATCAATACATTTATAGGTAGTAGCGTAGCGTAGTGCCGGCCCGCCCCGGGTGGCACTTTTTAGAGGGCGGCAAAATTTCACAATAAATAATAATAATATCTTGTAAAAATTTGAACCATTCTAAACTATATTTGTGTCGTGCCTACGATAGTGCTATCATCCGGACAGTCCGGGAATTGGCTCANTGAATATTTTCATTGCTGAATAATATGCGGACGAATGAAAAAACCCATTTAAAAGTAAGCACATTAGAAGCATGTATTTCTGTCAAATACAACTTTCAAATGAACTGTATGATTTTATGATTTTAAAGCGTGAAACGGCACTATAAAAAAAATTAATTCTACTGAAAAGTATCAAAATTAATGCTATTTAAATTTTTACAATGTGTGTATGTGTAATGATTCAGATTGTTTAAAATTTTAATGTATGCATTGTTGTATGCTACTATTTTCGTAATAAATGTTATAAACTTATGAATTTTATAAGGTATTTTTTGATTTTCTTCGATATGTCCTTTATTTTCCCCAAAAAAATATGGTCACTGTAATTATGTGTCCCTACCCTAAATTTTCCTGTTAAATGGTAGTGATCCATTACTGT